TTTGTTTGTGTGGTTTTTCTAGGAAACTGCCCACTTACTATTTTAAGAAGTATCAACAATGTGTGAACTTTTCTTTTTTAATCTCTCTTATGTCTTGTGCTTATCCTTAGAATTGTTTATTTACCAGATATTTCTGGGTTGTTTTTTTTTTAAATGATTAGTCTTAACAGAGATCTTTCCAATTTAAAAACTTATCTTTGAATAACTTGTTTTGGTCAATCTTCTATTCTTAATCTTTCTTTGATTTTTTTCATTTTTTTCCCTACTTTATTCTCTTTGATTTTACTTTGCAGCTGTGTGGTGTTAGTTAAATCTAAAATCTTTGGCTCTATATTTCCCTCTGCATACTGTTAAAACAGCTGTGTTTAATATACTCTGGTAAGTAGTATTTTTGTCATTCCCCAGGTTTAAATCTGTCTGACTATATTCCTTTTATTTTTTCTTTGGTTCTTGAATTGCTTAGTAATGACCTCATAGAGTCCAATTGTTTAGGTTTTTTTTTTTCTATTTTAATGCTTTGGTTGCTGATTTCTGATCTAATTCCATTGCAATTAAAAGTGCTCATAAAATATATTGATCTTTTTAGGGTATTTTCCCTATATAATTCCAATATACCCATTGAATTTTCTCACTAATTTTGTAGTTTAAATATTATTCTTAATTTTTTTGTCTTTTTAGTACCAAAGCATCAAAGAAAATTAAAATAACCTAGTAGATCTATGATTTCCCCCATTTCCCTTTATTTCTTTCTGGTTCTATTATTTTAGAATTCTGCTAAAGCCTTCTAAAATTTTCTTGGTGATTCAAGTCTTCAAATGGATAGAGACTCTTTACCTTCACTGTGTGTTTTTCCTTAAAATAGATTTTATCTGATATCTAGAAAGCTATGCCACTTTGTTTTATTTAGTGTTTATGTGGCACAATTGCTCTTCACTATTTCACTCTGTGGTTTGTAGCTGGATCTCTTGCATATGTCTTCTAACTGCAAACTTCTGTCTTTTCACAGATGAGTTTGGTTCATGAACAATTATTGTAATTATTGCAATATTTACAATTATTCCCAGCGGGTTATTTTATGGCTTGTGTTTGTTTTCTTTTTAGTATTGCTTTTTATTCTCTCTCCCTGAGTTTTTTAAGTTAAAAACTCTTTTGACTGAGGATGTTCTTGAACTTACAACCTATCTGCTGCCAACTACTGAGCTCTGAGATTACAGGCATGCACCACGGTGCCCTGCTATGCAGCGTTGTAGAGTGAACACATGGCTCTATGCATGCTAGGCAAGTGCTCTGCAAACTAAACTACATTCCCTGCCCCTTGGATGAGTTTTTAAGATAAATTATCTTTCTTGTATTTTGGAAAGCTGTATATGGTATATTTCGAGGTTCTAGTGCCTAATATAGGTGTCTTATATACAAGTGAATTTTAAAGTCTGAAGGTGTTAATTCTAACTGGATCCTGAATTAAATGATGAAGGAACCAAGAACATTTTCAATCCTATCACCCCTTGCTTTTGATTATCACTGTTAAGTATTGTCCAGGGTGACCAGCATTGGTTCTTGTGGGCAGAGTTAGTAATACCACACACTTAACAATTTCTTTGCTGGTTTTGGTAACTTAGACCTTCTTGGTGGGATTCTGATCATGTTTCAAGTAGAGCCTTCAGAAGTGTTCTTCCTTAGAGGGAATTGTTGTTAACTCACTTTAATTTTTGCTGAAAAAAAATGTCTTTATTCTGTCTCTGATCTTGAAAGATCGTTCTGTGGGCATGTTCTGTCTGTTGTAAACACTCCATATAAGTGGGATTATATGATGTGTCCTTTTGTGACTGACTTATTTTACATAGATTATCGTGGATTCTCATTCATGTTGTAATGTGTCAGAATTTCTTTCCGTTTTTAAACTACAGAGTATTTCATTGTAGGGACTTATCACATTCTGTTTACATTCACACATTAATGAGCCAGTAGCTGACTCCACCTTTGGCTACTAGGAATAATATTGCTGCAAAATACATGTGTAGGTGTCTTTTTGAGCCATGCTTTTTAGTTCTTTCATGTGTTTAAGATACAGAGTTGTTGGATCATATTGGTAGATAGGGATCAGGAGGAAGAATGGCATAGAAGAGGAGGGCTGGCTGAGATTTTAGATAAGGTGACCATGGCAGTACCTGCTTTTGGGAAGGCAGTGACTGATGTGTGATCTGAATGAGAATGAGCCATCTGCAGGGTAGATGAACATGAAGGAAGTTCAGTTATTTTATCAGGGAATAGCCAAGTGAAGGGCTATAAAAAGAAGAGAGAATAGTTGTTAAGGTGAGTATTAATGTCCTCCTATAGTTAGTACTTTTTTATTGAATTTGGATCTTCTATCTTGGCAAAATATCCAAAAGTTCAATATAGAATAAATCAGGTTAAAAAAGATGAACTTTCATTTTAAAAATGTCACCTTGAAAGTGTCATTTTAGAAGTATGGTAAAAGCACATATTAAAATACATTCAGTATGTGTCATGGGAATACTTCTGTGGCTCACTTGTTTATATAAGGTGCTTAACTATAGGTCTCTAAGTTTATGTTCTAGAAATTATTTTTATCCCATGAATGCTAAATACATAAAGGAAGTGTATGAACATTTGTTGTCATGTAGAATGCAGTTTACTGTAGCCATCAAGCAATCAGTAATTTACTAAATGTGACAATTTCTTTTATTCTTAAGGAATATGCAATTTAATGTTATTAAGAACCTGAAGTGATTGTTTACTAAATTACATTTTTTATAAATTTCATATATGTGTACTATATCTCATTTCTCCCTCTTCCTCCCACAATATCCTCCCTCCCCCTGTCAAATTTATGACCTATTTTCATTGTAACATATATGAATAAATATATAAATAGAATCTGCCAAGTCTGTTTAGTGTGGCTCATATGTAAATATTTTTAGGACTGACCACTTGGTATTGAATAAGTTAAAGGCTCATCCCTGGAGAAGAGTAGCTGCTCATCTAGGGTTAGGCCCCTGGGACTTCCCCCATCCACGTTGGCCTGTCAGATGGTGGTGTCATTGTTCAAATCTTGTTGAGTCATATTGTTGAGATTTCATGGGTGTAGCTTCTCTGTCTAGCTAGAAAACACAATCTTGCAGCAGGACTTCCTGGTCCTTTGGCTCTTATAATCTTTCTACCCCCCTTAACACACACACACACACACACACACACACACACACACACACGCACGCAACACTCATTATAATTAATTTTAGATAAATGTAATATGATTCCTGTGGCTTTTTCAAATATCCTTAGTGTTTTTTATTCCTCTTTCTTCCCTCTTTCCATATTGTCTCCTTCCCAATCTCTAAAAGAAGCCCATACAATTTTCTCACTTCCCCCTTCAAGAGTATCCCACTGTTCCCTTCTCTAATAGTTTCTCTAGTCTCACTATTGAAATTCCTTGTGTGTAATTTTGAATAAATATTTTCCATAGGCTTCATTTTATCTTCTTGAGGAAGGCCATGTTTGTTTTAAGTGGGATTTGACTAAGTATACTCTGAAATCATAGGTCATGCTTTATACAAAAGTCTGTTTATTCTTTGTGTCCAACTCAAACTCTGTTTATTCCCTGTATCTTTTCCTTATCACTTCAGAAATAATTGCTTATTTGCCTGGGTCGCTCTAACACATCATAAATGTCAGTCACAATACCGTATAGTCACATCCTTTAACCTAGCCATGTGTTTCTTAGCTTTATAACTCAAAACTCATTGAGGTCTGGTGCACATATTTGTGTTCAGATTTGTGTGTTTTCAATGTTGTGCCTGTATACTGAAAACTCAACATTTAATTCTTAATAGTTACTATCTCAGAAATGATAGCTGTGTTCAATAATACTACCATGTGGAAGTAAGTATTCCATTTAATAGCTAATTCTCCTGGTAGGAAACTCATGTTTCAGACTTTTAACAAGATGTAATTGGTCTCTTTGTCTAGCATTACATTATATGCATGACATAAATGCTTATTTGCATGACTCAAGAGAGAGATGTAAGAAGCAGTTATTTTGTCACTAATTATAAAATCATTAAAGAGGATGATTATCACTGATTTACCTCTTTGCATCTTGGATCAAAGGCACAAATTTCATAAAGATTGAGTATTCCAAGATCCATTCAGAAACATCTTTTGTGTAGTGATGTAATTTTTATCAGCCATTTAGGAGATGATGTGCCCCTTAGTGTGGTTAATCAGGATATGATGCTTACTTTGATTTGGATTTCCATATTCTCTTTGGTTCTCTATAATCCTTATTTCTCTCACACACACTTTCAAAAACTAGGTTTTCTTAAGACCTATTACTTATTCATTCATTCAAGAGCCTTATGTTGTAAAATCTACTGTGTGATAGGCACAGAGTGATGGGCATGATTTGATTTAGAATTGAGTAAGATAGACAAGGTCTCCACCCTCAAAAACCACAGATGAGAGATGCAGCCTAGGAGGTGATGGGCTGGTTCTTAAAGGGCCTCTTAGGTTATGGTAAGAAAACATCACTATCAAGGCAATAAGAGGACCCTTACTGACTTTTATATGGAGATTCAACATAAAATATGATCAGTTATAAAGCAAAGAATTTTTATCACCTGAGTTTATTCTAAAGCTGTTTTGTTATAATCCCCAAGGATGAAGAAGTCTGTTGAAATTACATCAAAGCAATAAGAAATGGTCATTTTTTTATCGGAAAGATATTAATGAATCAATATGACAATATTAAACATAGAAATTAAGTCTTTCATACAGAACATTATTAAACTCATTAGCCTGCTCATAAGGTAGAAATTAAATTTCCCCTCACTCTGAATTATATTTGATTACTGTTGCATACTTTCTATTTTATTGGTGAAAGTGTTAAATAATTTCCCAGCAGCTTATTCATGCCACTTAATACCTCTGATCAAATGTAGGTGGAACTGTACCATTTCTCTCCAGTGACTTAAAAATTGGAGATGCTTCTGTTAATTGGGAAAACAATCATCTTTGATAACTTTCCTGATCCTTCTGATACATGGGAAATCACTGAAACCATCGGCAAAGGAACATACGGGAAGGTTTTTAAAGTCCTGAATAAGAAAAATGGCCAGAAAGCAGCTGTTAAAATTCTGGATCCAATCCACGTGAGTCACTTTGAGATTTTTTTTTTTAAAGATTGTGTTTATTTGCTTGTGTGTATGTATGTTAGTATGCATGTTCACGTGTGTGAATTTGCATGCATGTGTGTAGTATATGTGCATATGAAGGCCAGAAGTCAACCTTGGTTGTCATTCCTCAGCCTTCATTCACTTTTTTTTTTTTTTTTTTTTGGCAAGGTTTCTCTCTGGCCTGTGGAACTCACTACTTAGGTTAGCCTAGCTGGCCAGGGATCTGCCTGGCTCTGCCTACCCATCCACCCACCCTAGCATGGGATTACAAGCACGTTCCACCACATTCAATGTTTTTACCTGGGTCTGGGAGGTGGTAACATTGGCTTTTCCTGCATATAAGATAAGCACCTTACAAACTGAGGTATCACCCCAGGCCCTAGCTTTTATTTTTAAGGCTCTACTTTATTTTCCTTTGTATTAAACACAGTAAAAACTCTGAAAGTATCTTACACCATTTCACTCATCACAGTGTCATTCAGAAATTAGAAGCAATCTAAACAATAAGCAGAGGTCTAATTATTTGCTCCTCCAACTTATGTGCTTTGCACATGCAATATGGTGCCACAAGTTCTTAAACAAATGCATAAACACACGAGTGCATTTCTCAACAATGAATCAGTTGATTTAATAGCATTGTATTCTTTTAAAAAGTCACAGAAACACAAACTTTTGAGTCTAAAAGTTCTCCTGAAAATTTGGCTATAATTATCTGATCTCCATTTTTTTCTGCACTCACTTGGGCTTCGGGTAGTATTTCTCTTAAGACAAAATAGAGAGGATTTTAAAAAATGTTAAACTGCACAATGGTGGCAGTTAATAAGCCAGTGCTTGGAGGATGGGGGGTGAACAACTCAGAAGGCTATACCCCTGAATGAAGAGCTAGAGGCAATTATTGACTTCTGAGAGAGGGAAAATCAGTCTTCTCTAGGGATGAGCCCTTGATAAGTTGTCCAGTTCCAAGTGGTCAGCCCTAAATAGATAGGGACAATACTATATGGTCTAGGCAGGTGTGTGTGTGTGTGTGTGTGTGTGTGTGTGTGTGTGTGTGTGTGAGAGAGAGAGAGAGAGAGAGAGAGAGAGAGAGAGAGAGAGAGAGAGAACTCCTAAGTAGAGAAGAACTCAAGAATTTGGGAGGGAGCGGGTAGAGTTGGAGGATGGAGGCAGGTGTAAAAATTATATACGTACAGTACTTAAGTATGAAATTCAAAAAAATTAAATAAATTTAAAAGGTGGCATGTGTTAATAAAAGTTTTCATAGAGAAAAATATTAAATTTCTCTCAGAAAAAGTAGTTTTCTGATTTGCCTAAGTGTTTCTGTAGCAGAAATGGTGTTGATTTAGCGGGTGAAATTCCTCATTGAAGAATGAGTTTCCTCTAGAGTCCTGGTGTTCTCTCTTGAGTCACTAGTAGTGATTCCCCACACTGAACTGTACCCACCCCCAGGCTTGCTGTGTTTAGAACAAGTATTGTCAGTGTGGGAATGTATGAGCCTCCTAGAAATAACTAAGTCTCCCATAACACACATGTAAGCAGAATGAGCTCAGAATCATATAATCCCCCAAATTCTACTGAGAGTCACTTCTCAGTAGAGTGTTAAGAGAATCTTGAACTCATGGTGGAAGCCTGAGGTGATGGAAATGATAAAACAAGGAGGCCACTTCAAACCTGAGTCTTTGACATGGCTTGCCTGCTAGCATAGGGTGCTACAAAACTACCTAGTTCTTTATTCATCTTTGTAGTGGTTCTAGTTTGATAATTTATTTGTGCTTGTGTTTTCTTTGTGCTGTGCTGACTCTGAGATTCTGTAGGGAAACAATGAGGGTATTACATGTGACTGTTAGAGCAGTACCGTTAAGATTTTCTCTTATGGTCTACAAGTTGCTCCACATAGACATGGTGTTCTAGAAACACGCCCCAATAGTTCTCCAGCATTTTATTAACTCATTCTCCTTCTGATGGATAAGCTCTTAGTTAACTTAGGCTTATATTGTATCATATAATTTAGTTCCAATCCAATGTTCTAAATAGGAGTTTATTGCCTGTATAATGGGTTTTTGATAACCTCTAAATATACTGTGTGTTCTGGACCAAAGGAACTAACTTTTCAGTCTTTTTATTTATTTTAAATCGATGTCTTGGTCATTGCAATCAAATCACTAATAATGAATTATACTGGCTGGTTTTGTGTCAACTTGACACAAGCTAGAGTCATCAGGGAGGAGCCTCAGTTCAGGAAATGCCTCTATAAGATCCAGCTATAAGGCATTTTCTCGTTTAGTTATCAATGGGCAAATGCCAATCCCACAGTGGGTGGTGCCATCCCTGGGCTGCTGGTCCTGGATTCAATAATAAAGTAGACTGTGCTAGCCATGAGAAGCAAGCAGGTAAGCAGCACCCCTCCATGGGCCTCTATATCAGCTCCTGCCTCCAGGATCCTGCCCTGTTTGAGTGTCTGTCTTGATTTCTTTCAGTGATGAACTGCAATGCTGAAGTTTAAGTCAAATAAACCCTTTCCTCCCCAACTTGCCTTTTGGTCATGGTGTTTTGTTACAGCAGCAATAGAAACCCTAGCTAAGGCAAGTACAAGTGAAATCATCTGGAGTAGTTCTCCAGTTGCATGCAGCAATAGCCTTTTATTTCTCCCTTTTAAAATTCAGTTAAACTAATACGGATTGAGATGCATTGAATTAGTAGAAAAAATGGTAAACTGTAAGGAGACTTTCCAATACATGTTACAAAGCACAGTACCAAGGACTGTGACCTTGCTTTAATGGAGTTAAAATTCTCTATTTAGTATCCTAATATAATTTGATTAGCATCATTGTGTTTTCTCATAGTTCCTTTGTATGACCTGTTTTAACCTAGGATATTGATGAAGAGATTGAAGCGGAGTATAACATCTTAAGAACACTTTCTGACCACCCGAATGTGGTCAGATTCTATGGGATTTACTTTAAGAAGGACAAAATAAATGGAGATAAGTTATGGCTGGTCCTTGAGGTGAGTACACAGCTTTACTTGAGTGATGGGGATTTGTATTGTGGTCTTGGAATGGCTTTGTGTTGATGTCACATCCGCAGCACACAAAACCAGTGTTCCTTACCTCTGTTGTCCTCAGTATAATGTTGTACAGTTTAGGCATTGGCCTCTTAGACGCATCAGGATACTAAAAGTCTAGGAAGACCACCAAAGATTAAAAGAAAACAAGTCCATGATAAAAGACGAGTGAAACAAAGATTATTTTGTCCTACAGAAAAAAATGAATTACAAGGGAATCTCATTATGATGCATAATGCATAATATGCATTTAAAAAATATTTGGGCAGGGGATAGTGGTGCATATCTTTAATCCAAGTACTTGGGAGGCAGAGGCAGGTAGATCTCTGAGTTCAAGGCCAGCCTGAGTTCCAGGACAACTAAAGCTACACAGAGAAACCCTATCTCAATAAATAAATAAATAAATAAATAAATAAATAAATAAATAAATAAATAAATAAAATGAGACACCAAATCAGTTACGACATGACTGAAGTTCTGTGCCAGGGTTAGGGTGTAAGAACAAATTAAGTAAAGCCTCCTTAGAAATATCTGTGGTCTTCTTGGATCTTTATTGAAGCTAATAGCTTAACTACAGAACTATCGACAATCATGAAGAGAAAACCTTGCCCTAAATGGTTTTCTGAGTAAATTGCTGTGGGCAGCAGTGAACTCTGCACTTTGGAATCCCTAGAGTGTGCTTTCTTGTAATGTGCAGTCTGTTCCAAGACAGGCTACTGAGAGCCTGCCCCTCCCTAAGGTGACAGTACTAGAACTCATTTTTTTCATGATTCAAGTAATCATTAGTTCAAACAAAAATTCCAAGAAATTTTAAAAGTCACTTTTTGGGCAGCAGAATGACTCAGAAGGTGAAGGTGCTTCCACCAAGTCTAATAGCCTGAATTTGATAATTGGAACCCACATGGTGGAAGGAGAGAACCAACTCCCAAAAGTTGTCCTCTGACCACAGCCTTTGTTTGACTAAGTAATGGCATAATATTTTCTGTGTTGGTTACTATATTAGCATTTGATTATTTCTTGGGAATATGTTTGCTTTACTGAGAAGAAAAATAGTGCAACATAGACTCTATCTTCAAAACAAAACTGAAATGAAAAACAGACATGTGAACAACAAGAAACAACAGCAAAAGCAGGCAGTCCAAAGGCCTGGTAATATAATGTCAACATGTTGATCCAGCATACTGGGACCACCCTGTCCTATTCAGTTCTGTGCTCTTGATATTTTGTGATACTGTTCCTAGAAAACTGACTAAGCCTCTCTAGCCTCATTGGAAAGACTCCATTTAACCTTGAGACCTGTGTGCTCCTGCCCGAGTCTGGAGATCTACCTGCATCTGGTCTCTAATGTTTCTCTACTGCTTTCCCTGGGTGGAGCTTATATTCTGATCCTTGGCCGCCTCTGTCCAAGTTAATTACTCTACTGATGTCCTTGATTCCTTCTGGTTGTTTCTAAGGGAAATGGATACCCAGTCTCTTACCAGAGAGTATGAGGCACACCAGGCAGGCTCCCAGGTGCTGATACTCTGTGTGTTGGATGTGAGGGTGTCCAGTCTTATGATTGGACACTGCCAGGTGATCCCTTGTTTTCTGACTCTTGCCCTCTGCATATCCACTTACCTTCTCTGGCACTGTGTGGGTTAATCTATTCTGGGAGCACCAAGGAACCTCAGAGAGCCCTTCAGTTTAACATGGCTTTCTCTGCTTTGCTACATCAGTCCCAATGTGCAGATATGATTTCATATTGGAAGAGTTGGGATCTCCGGCCCATTGCTCTCCCATTTTATGTTTTCTTTGCATCTTAGACTTTGTTTTTATTCCTTTATTAGCACTTAAATAGATATTCGTGAGTAAGAGGAAATTAACCTGTCTTTCACCTGCAACCTTTAATTATATTATAGAACCTTCAAAACTATAAAATAATATTTTAAAGAAGCTGTTCAGATTCTGTAGCTGTGTGTTTTGTTATATGACATTTATAAAATTGAAATCATTGCTCCTTAGTATTAGACAATTTATAAAAAAACATTTTATATTTTTCTAGTATGAGATAGCTTTATATCTTACTTTAAATTACATACTACACAAAGCTCAACTTTTATTCATCTAAATTTAATTATCCAAGCAATAGAAAGCAAATTATGAACCTAAATCTTCCTGCCCTACATTAGTGAAGAACCTTAGTGTCTTTACTTCAGTTTTGCATTTATATATCTGAGCTGTTGTGCTGTATGAACCCTTAAGTCTTGAATGAAATTGTGCACACACATCACATATTTTCAGTAGTGTGTGCTGATCTTTGCAAACAAATCAGCAGTGGAATGGAGATCTGGGCTCTCTGACTGACATGGAACTCTATGGGCAAGGAAGCAAGCAAGCTATGACATTTTTTCCCAGAACTCAAAAAATATTAAATAAGATCAATTCTTGCCTTTTAGCCTGCCAATCTTCTATTCTAATTACAGTGGATTTTTAGTATAAACCCTTGAAATTGGGGTTTATTTTAATTGAATTGAAGACTCCTGGTGATAGTTATGTGTGTTTGGGGTTTTTGTTCTTTTTTTGTAATTTTTATTAGTTCAAATTAGGAGCAAGCTTGTTTGACATGTCAATTCCTTCTCCTTCTCCCTCCCCTCCCCTCCCCCTACCCCTCTCCCCCTTTCC